TCACTCCATCTCTTTATTTATTATTATTATTACTATTATTAACTCAATAGGAATGAGAGAAAAGCAAATTAAAAGTACAGTAAAGAGCTGTTGGAGTAGTTGCCAAACGTATTGAAAAGAAATATTAAAACTTTTTTGCGTTGCGCTCACGAGTAGTACACTATTGGCTAAACACACGAGTCTTGAGTAAACATTTCATTGCAAGAAATGATGATATAATGGTCGGTGTGTTTGGACCGCTTTGGGCTATATTGCAACTCTGGGCACTCAAACCAAACACAACACACAAAATAAATTTTAGTATTTTTGTGTTCATTCAATACCATTACGTTTATATGTATTTATAGCCCATATATCTATGAATGTGTTTCTCATTTACTTTTTCATAAAAATTTTTATGGACAGTCGCCTCGGGACCCATTGGTTTTGAGTGGCGCACAGAATACCAACTTTTTCTACTGTCACTTAAACAGTACATTAGACTGAAAATCAAATAAACTCAATACAAATCAATTGAATTGAATTTAATTCAATAGTCAAACCCAAAGACCTGGTGATAGGAAAGCAAATGTTACGAAAAATGCGGCCAAAAATCCGTGTATTCCTTGAGCTATACATAAGACAGTCATATATATGGTGTTCAGAAATATAAGAAGTGTGTGTTTTGTATGTTATTATTGATGTAATAATCTCTCACCAGAGCTGTGCTAATGCATGCTTTGTATATATATTTGTCAAAAGGCCAGTCACTATAGTGTAGTCACTATTCTTCTCCTAGTCTTCCTCTGATGCCTACAAATATACGTCAAAATTGATATGAAGTGCATATATGTGTTGGCCTTTTGTTCACATCTTTCTCTCAACTTGTTTTCTCTCACTTCCAACGAAATGCATGTTTAGTCCATTTGAGTAGAAAATGATTTTTATGTTAACAACACATTTCTTAAGTAACTTATCGCTGGGTATGTGTTATGTAAAGAACATTCAAATAATAGACTTTCAAACTGTAAGAAACCATTAGTTTGTTGGCGAATATGTGTATGATTTCAATGACTGTTATATTTTTATTCAACATAAAACATATTTATTACACATAATATATTCAATGCAAAAATATGTTTTTCGTATGAATTATCTAACGATAAGAAAATGAATGATTTCCTGTGGCCTACCAGTGCTCTAATGTATTCTTTTGTTATGCCATAAGTTTATTAAAAATAATTGTTATTAAATGATGTCTAATATATGGTTTGCAAAACTTAACGCCAAAGTCACTCACTTGAGTACTACTGAATCCAATTGACTCTTGACCTCAAATGTTAACGAAATGTGTTTCATTTTGCACATCACATCCCAGTCCTTATTTATATGAGCGAAAAGGCAACGATTTATATGCCGGTGCCATAGTATACCAGTGCCCCCGCACTCATACATTCATTCATTGAATATATAAAAATAGAGCGAAAAGAAAATTCACTTTTTCGGTGCTATTTTAGGGCAAAATCTATAACTTTTGACTTTAAAAATGTATGTAAACTCCGATCCCTCGCTCTCTCTCTCCCTGTCCTCTTAGACTCTTACAGAACACTGTTCTCTACTTTTGAGAAATTGATTTTTCGTTTTCATCTTATTTTCACTTCACTCTCACTAACACTCACTTCTCTTCTCTGTGTTACCAATCATTTAAAGTAAGAGTAAAAGTAGTGTTGTTTGAGACGACGAAAAGAAATTTCACGTTTGATGCGAGGCTTAGGCATCGCATACAGAAAATTGAGTTCACTTTTCGCCTAAAAACGACTTTTCTCTCCAAGACATATGTCGGTCCCATAAAAATGTCTATAACTGTGAATAAGTGGAGTTTAAGGTGGAAATTGTGTACAAAGAAATGTTGTCTTTTATGGACTCCGAGTCCATAACTTTGACACTCGAGTTAACAATTTATTATATTTTCGCTTTATTTAAGAGAAACTGAGAGAAAGAAAAGAGAAATTATAACAAATATAGAAGTGATTTATAAATAGGGAATCATTTTGGACACAAATAAAGAGATTATGTTACGGACCGAAATAGGGGTCATTCCCGAGCGCTCCGGTATTTTATTTTAAGAGTGCTTTTTCCTGAGTGTGTGACTGACTTAAGATTACATAAAAAACATTTTACACGACATTTAAATAGTGTTTAGCAAACCGTAAGAACACAAGTGATGTGCAAATCGGGTGTAAATCACTCGACGGGACAATAAAATCCCGGAGACTATACTAACTGTGATGTGAATAGTCAGCTAAAAGCACCCACTGTTTTGCCTAACCATTTGATTACTACAAACGACTGGTGCACTGGATGTCCATATATTTAGCGCACAAAACATAACATACTTTTTTTCATTTGCCTTTGAATGTATTTATTTTAAATACCACTTGATTTGAATCGTTTAGTCTTAAAATCGTGTTTAAAAATAAAATTAATTTTTACGAGTCAAACAAATGAGTGAACAAAATCAGATTATAGACAATAATGACTTCCCGATTGTGTCACATGTAATCAGTGGTAATCTTGACTTATATGCCACTAATTTTTTAATTTAATGTTTAATAAAATGGTTTTTAATCTCGTGTTTAATCAGAGATACAGTATTCATAGCGAAATGAATGCATAAAAGATTGACTCAATAATAATGAGCCCATAATTTATATTTTAAGACACTATTAAAATGCATTAAAAACCATTGAAATGAGTTTTGCGGATAAAAAACAATAAAACATAAATAAGTTTTTCTATTTATTTTTGCTTAAAACATCACAATTAGTTTGCATTCAAATGGTTTCTAATTTAAGAAAATCTTCATTAGTTTTGAGCTCTAAATGACATTTTGTTTGTTTGTTCTCAATGTAAATGAACTGCACTATTGAGAGGGCAATGGATGCCAGGGATAGGCATAGAAAAAGGAGAGGATTGATAGGGAATTGTAGCAAAAATCTCTAATACACTACACTATCTCCTAGTATTGTATATCCGATAGAAAATGTTTTTGCAGACAATTCTCATACAATTCGACAATAAGTCCAAAAATAAGACCGAAAATGAGATAAAAAGAGTGAAACGAATCGCACCGTAAGAAACAAAAAGTGCGGCAAAAGTAGAGCACATTATATACGCTGTGATTGTGTAACCGAAATGAGAGGACATCCACACAAACATCTCATCTGTAAATCTCTTTTAGGTTTTTCTGTCTCTCAATAGTAGTGTTTTTCGCACAGCGTTTGAGCCCTTCTTTCGCTCCTATTTCTCGCTTGTCTTCAAAATTACAATTTTCTTCTTATCGTTGCTCACAATCCCTCGTATCTCCCGTTCCCCTCTCCTCAGCATCACTACTGGTTTTAGTAGTATTTTATATATTTTTTCCAATAATATCTCAGGCATTATGAGAGTGAGTGAGTGAGTGAGTGAGTGAGTCGTGTGGCCAGAGATACATCAGTAGTGCGAATGAAGACGAGTCTAACTCTTATGTAAGTGAAGGCAAAAGGCATTAATAGTTGAGCTGAGATGAGAGAGGGCTTGGAGTTTGAAGGGAATGGAATCCAAACCAGTGGTCATCAACGGAGATGAGAGTTTCGGTTCACTTAAGGCATACGATTGCGAGAGAGAAAGAAAAGGCTGAATAAAATGGAAACTTATATCCAAAAGCCAATCACGAGTTGATACACACGTTAGTAGTGGTGTTGTGGGAGAGGGTGATGGAGAGTGAGAGTGTGAGAGGGAAAGCCATATATTTGTTTGACGGCGAAACCAAATTAAAGACATTGTATTATATAAGGCATTGTAAGGCTTAAGCCAATTCTCTTCCCAATTCTTAGGCCTAAGCTTAGGGTTAGGCATATAAGAGCCAAATGGCATTCAAGGCGTTCATATAATGGGTGGTCATTACCGATACGCTTGTAGTCATCATTTGGTCGTACAGTTCACGGCTACCCTTCAGCTCAACTAAGGCTATACTGAATCCCCGGTGTGTTGTCATATAATGGGTGTGTTATTAGTATTACATTCTTATATGTATTCCGAAGACGTTACCATTACATCCACTTTCCAATGCATTTGTATCATAAAAATGCACATTAAATATAAAAATCCCACACATTTTACGCCAATACTTATGGCCGTAATATCGCACAAACTCTCTCCGATGAATAGTAATAAGTTTTTGTACTATTATTATATACGCATAAAAAGTCATTTGCCTTTTACTATATTTATATATGAAAAAGACAATAATTTGATTGATTATAATTGCCATTTATATCGCGATTTCCCCCCAATTTGATTGATTTATTACAATTCAAATTAGAAAAACATTGCAAAAATTAAAGACTAAAAACTGTAAAATGCAAATTGTGTGCCAAAACACATTAGTCTTTACATGCAAAATAATTTTGTATCTCAAATGTCTCTAATAATCAACACTTTCTTATTGTTTTTCTATGTTTTCTTAGCAAACATTTTGTGCAAATTGTATAAAAAATCAGAAAAAAATTTGTGAACTAATCAGATAATAACCGAGATAATGATACTGTATGAAATGCATATGATTTCATACGATATGAATCGTGAAATAAATAAAATTTCTTACAGTTAAGCAAAGAATTTAACTTAAAATCTGAGTTTTGCCGCAGAAATGCACCAAAAGTTCATATTTCACGTGAATTTAAAGCATCAAAAGTTTTGTGAAATTTTGTTGAATAAAAAATGTTGGACTAAAGCCATGGTTTACTCGGATTGCTTTAATTGATTGATTATTTAACGCCACCATCTCTTTGATATGCTGTGCCTTCCCATGCATTAAGGCAACCATCTCTCGCAGACACCACCGGCTTATTGATTGACAGCTCTTTTGACACACAATACAGACTTTCTTTGCCTTCAATGCAATCGCAATGTAATTGCAAACCATTTCTAATCAAAACCTTTTCTCCATACGTATAGTACTGAGAGATGAGTTCAAAATAATGCCCAAAAACGTGAGGACAGCGGCCGGGGAGACAGCGGTGATGGAGTGCGCGCCTCCCAGAGGTTTCCCGGAACCGGTGATCACTTGGAAACGAAACGGCGAGAAGATTAACACCGGCTTTGGACGCGTCCGACTCAACGGCTATAATCTCATGATCTCTGAGGTCAGACCGGGAGATGAGGGTCGGTATCAATGTATCGCCGAAAACGTGGTCGGCGTCCGAGAGTCACCGCCGGCTCTACTCAATGTTCAGGGTATGTATTGACACATCAATTAATGGTCAAATTCTGAGCTCTAATTTTATATCTTTTGCAGTGAAACCATTTTTCATAAGAGGACCCGAAGATGTGACCACACTGTCCAGCGAACACGTGGAGTTCCACTGCAAAGTAGGCGGTGACCCCACCCCTACCATAACGTGGCGCAAACAGGGAGGCAAAATGCCTATCGGAAGGTATGGCCACTTTTTCGATCATCCGTTAAATTAGTGAACACTTTGTTTAACAATAACTTTCAAATGCATTCATTCAGAGCCCAAATACTCGAAGACAAGGCATTGAAGATAATTCATGTCACGCCTGCGGATGAAGGGGTGAGTCAGTCGAGTGATGAAATCAAATGCGAGAAAACCCAATGTATTAATCATGCGATTGAATGCATTTCAGGTTTACATCTGTGAAGTGGAGAACCCGGTCGGCACTATCACGTCCTCCGCAACCCTTACCGTTCATTGTATGCAAACAATTAGCTTTCAATTACAATCCCTACCGGTGCCTAACGCTCACATCTGTCTCTCCCGCACTCACAGCTCGTCCAACATTTCTGGTTCAGCCAAAGGACATCCGGGTGCCGGTGAACAGTGTGGCCAAACTCGACTGCGTGGCCACCGGAAACCCTCCGCCCTCTGTCTTTTGGACGCGCGAAGGCAATCAAGTGCTGATGTTTGGCGGCAAAACTCACGGCCGCTTCTCCGTCTCATCGGAGGGCACACTCACCATATCGGGCGTACGCAAGGAGGACAAAGGTTACTACGTGTGCTCCGCCCTCTCCATCGTGGGCTCATCCATGGCCAAGGCTTATCTCACTGTCAGCGCCGTGGCTGATGTGCCCCCACCTCTCATCAAATTAGGTCCGGCCAACCAGACACTGCCTCAGGACACCATCGCTATGCTTCCCTGCGAGACAATCGGCTCACCCCAGCCTACCGTCAAATGGCTGGTCAACAGCAAACCCATACCCCTATACGACCCCCGATTTGTTGTACTCGACTCCGGGGCCCTTCAAATCGATGGTACGTACGATTGAAACACTCATTTCTGGGCTAATCCCTCATTAAATGAGCACTAATTTTATATTTCATTAATAATCATATTTTTCATATAATTTAGTTATAAAAATAACGGAAGAGTTTTTGATTTATGAATTAGTGATTAATTTGAATTTTTAGATACACTAATAAGTCGTTTTATGAACTAAATCTCAATTAAACTTAAAGAGATTATAATCTTATGAATTAATAGTCGAATCAAAACTTAAGCTAATCTACAAAACGAGTAAAAATTGCTTAATTAGTGATTAATTTGAGAAAAAACCTGATATTAATGACTTATTAATTATTAATTAATGCAAACTTTAAAAACATGTAATCTGTTGATCAAAAAGGTTTTAGCAACTTATTAATGGACTAAATATTTAGAGAATTAAGTCATTCACTCATTTAATAAAGTCTCGAAAAACTACTCAAATATATTCATTAAACTAATTAAACGATGAATTCATTCAAATCCAGACCTCCAGAAGACCGACTCCGGGATCTACACGTGTATAGCCTCGAGCGAGAGCGGCGAGACCTCTTGGAGCGCATCCCTGGCCATTGAATCTCCGCGTAATCCCAACATAATGTTTCACCGGATGCCAGACCCGACCACATTCCCGGGGCCGCCACAGAAGCCGTCGATCGTGAATATGACGGAGACATCGGTGACGATAACATGGCGTCGACTCGGAAGAGCCGGTTCCTCGCCGTTCATCGGCTCCACCGTCGAGTACTACAGCCCTGAACTGCAGAGCGGTTGGAAAGTGGCCGCCACTCGAGTGATGGCCGACACCTACACTGTCCACGACCTGCAGTCGGAATCGCGTTACGTGTTTTACGTGAGATCCGAGAACAGCCACGGGTTAGGCCCACCCAGTCCCATATCGGACGAGATCCGTACGATGGGCTCGTCATCGTCGCAGCACTTGCCTGAGTACGACTTGGATGAGGCGCGGGTGCGGCTCAGCAGCTGCTCCATTGAGCTCAAGGATGTCCGCGCCATCAGCTCGACGGCCGTCAAACTCTATTGGGATATTCAGGGCAGTCAGGAGTTCGTCGAAGGCTTTTACGTCAGATACCGAGATATGAGTGCCGGACCCGCGGCCCAGAAGTACAATATGGTTACAGTTGTCAACTCTGGTAGCTCTTCGTACCTGTTGTCAGACCTCCGAAAGTATACGAGATTTGAGTTCTTTTTGGTTCCCTATTACAAGAACGTCGAGGGAAAGCCTAGTAATACCCGTACAGTCATGACTTTCGAGGACATGCCTTCCGCGGCGCCCGAGAAGCTGGCCGTCAAAGTGGTGAACCTGACGACAGCCACCATCGAGTGGGCGCCTCCAGCACCGGAACACCGCAACGGAAATCTATTGGGATATAGTGTTCACATTCAGGGAAACACATCAGTCCTCCACTCAAACATAACCGTCAACTCATCCATCAATTCCATTGTTTTACACAACTTGACTACCGGTGCTGTCTATAGTGTGCGGGCGCTGGCGTTCACGACAGTTGGCGCCGGCCCTCTCAGCGCACCCGTAGCCCTGCGTATGGATCCGAATCTGTTGTACTCGAAGCTAGAAGACGGTCCGTCGGCCAACTCGTTGGACACGACATACTTGGGTGGCATCACAATGACCTGGTTTTACGCCATTTTGGTGGCGCTGTTACTCATCTTTGGATCCATTGTTGCGGTGATAATCATAATGAAGAAGCGAATCGCGTGGAAGAAAACAATCGGCGCTCATCTGACGGTCCCGTTGAACAAGAATGAAGAGATCGGTAGGGGTGGCTTCAATGGGAACGCCAGGGAAGCCCTTTGGATCAATCATGGCTGGAGACCGTCCGATAAGGACAACAATCAGACCAAACTGTTGGGCAACTGTCCGCCCAATGATGTGAACGGCTATTCCAGCGCTTTCGTGGGCGACGGCTATTGCAGTGTCAACGCACCCGACTATGCGGAGGTGGACACCCATAACCTGTCCACTTTCTACAAGAAGGAGGCCTTCCCGCAGTCAGTGCCGGCCCCGTACGCCACCACTACTCTGATCAACGCGGGCCACAAGAATGGCTCCGTTAGAGACCATAAGAGTAGCGGATCCGAAGAAATGGGTAGCAGAAAGTCAGACAAACCGATGCCTTTTGAGTTCAATGGAGACGACGGCGCGATGGAGCGCCTCCTCAACGAACAGTCCATCAAAAGTCCGAGCGATTCGGGCAGTTATACGACCGATGAGTACGGAATGCCTGTCAGGAAAATCAAAACCCATAAACACCGGCAACCGAACCACCCGTTCAGACCTAATCCCATGCATATGAATGGAAACGGAACTCAGGGCTCGAAAGGACCCGGAATCAACTGGAATGATCTGATACCACCACCCCCTGAGAACCCTCCCAGTGAGTGCGGTACACCTCCCGACACACCTCTCTTGAACTGCAATGTCAGACAACACAACCCGAACCGTTTGATTAGAGTTCAGGTAATTATCAATTGGTTTTGAAATATATTCAATAAATTAATAATTGTTGTCATGATTTCTATAAATAGCTCCCATCGATGGCATACATACATTCTGGTGGATCCAACTCCGGCCGATCGCCACTAATCACGCGAAGCTATCAGCCCTCGCCGGCCAACAGTCGACACAGTCTTTCATCGCCCAAAAGCACACTCACGAGGAATAAGAAAGTCGGAGACATTATGTCCAACTCTGGCGACGCCTCTCTCATGTCACACCAGAATCGGACACAAATACCGCAGTTTCTGCAGAAACTCCGAAATCAGAGCCAAGCGATTGAAAAGCATTACGAGTCGTCAAACGTGACGAATATCATCGCCAATCCGATGGACCGACAGATGCAGTCGTCGTTGCCGTCGCTCATGGATGAGAGCCAACAGCAGTCGGCGGCGAACAGGAATCAAGTGATGGTCGGCTCGTATCAGAGGCTGGAAATGGATGCGGACGTCGATTGCCTCAGACGTGATATTATGAGCCGAAAGACGAGTAATGGTCGCCATTCCCCTCAGTCCAGTATCGGCGGCGACACAGACTATGCACGCGATGGCGACCGCGAGGCCAGCGATGGCGGCACGAGTCATAGCGACGGCGAGGGCCGGGAGGTCTACGACCACGAGAACGCCTTCTACGCGCAGACAGATCTGGCCGACTGTATGGCCCGAGCCGTGCAAAGCGCCGGCGGATTCACATTCAATGAGCAATCGTTTGTCATCGAACCGCAACTCATGAGTAATAATAACAACAATAACATGAATAAGAAGTTCCGATCGCATCAGAGGGCACAGATGGCCAACTTTAGGCCTACCAGTCCCTATAGCACCGATAGCAATATGAGTACAGCGCTGCCCATTCAGGCCCGACACCCGCCGAAGTTTCGCCGGCGACACGGCAGCGACCGTATGGCCGACAATCAGCTACTGTCCCCCTCTTCGTGCTCAGAGCACGAGCCCTCTTACGAGATAATTGACTCCGATTTCAACAATCATTTGCAGCAAAAGCCAACTATAGTTCCTAACGCTATGCATACTAACTGTAAGCATACCTTTCCCATTGATTTCTCATTCAATTCATGTAAATTCATTGATTTGTTTGATTTGACAGCACATGACATGTCATCAAATTATATCACATATAATAAGCCGCTGTTTCAGGAGACAAACAAACAGATGATGGGCACCGATACCAACAAAAGTCAAATATCTTCTCCCACTTCAAGCAAAGACTCGTTTAATTTAAGATCATTTGCGATGCGATTGGATGCCAGAGATGTCTGTATTTGATAAATGTTATCCAATTTGTGCTCAAAACTAATATTTCTTTTATTTTACCCCAAAACAGACGCCAATAGTTTAGAGAAAGAAATGTTTTTTGTGGTCAAGAATTAATGGATTTCGCTATCGATTAACACAAGGATTAATATAATCCCATATATATTGTAGTTATATATAACGGATTACATGATTGAATGGAATGCATATCACAATTGCAAATCAATGCAAACATTTCTGCCTTTCTTTTCTAACTATTACTATATTATAGGAAAAATAATAATTAAGAAAATGTTTTACATAACAGCCACTGGTTTATATGATATATGTTTTGCATATAACTATTAATTTATTAGAGATTATATTGATATATAAAAATCAATTTATAATTCATTCTCTCGATTTGTATTCATATATAAATACATATAAAAACGAAAAAACATTGAAATGATTGAGACGTCAAGTTTCAATTAGATGTACAGAATATGTAATATAAAACAAAGTTATAAATTAAACACTAAACTAACTGTAAGTCTATGAATAGTGTATATAAATTGAAATTAAAATTGATGTTCAAGTGATGTATAATTAAGTGAAACACAAAATGAATTGTTTAATTGAATTATCGAAACACGAGTTGTATATTAAATAAAAATAAGTTTCTGTCAAATAAAATAAATAAACGAAATGTAATAAAACAAAAGGCAAATAAAATTGAACTCAAGAATGATTAGGAAATAATAAAACTTGAAATTCATTGTAAGATAAGTTGTGCCAAAACACTAATGTCTAAAATTAATTGTAATAATAATATTAAAGTCAATAAATAAATCTAATAAATAGATATTATTTGAACATAAATTATTCACTTATTTGCTTGATAATTTATCATATGATTTCAGTCTTCTAAAGTGACATTAAAATCAATTAAGTCTTAAATTAAAATTTCACTCAAAATTCTTCACATTTTATTTAAAACCAAAATTCAATAAACTTTTTAATAAGAATTTGTTTCATTTTGATGTATGAAATGTTACTACGGTACATTAAAAGTTTATTAAGTTATAAAGTTTGTCATAAATACTGATGAATAGAGAGAAAAAAGTTTCTAAACATTTCATAAGTATTGAAATCTAAACGAAAGTCAAATAAATAGATTTCGAGATTTGTTTGCGAGTGCATGTCATGGCCACTACTTGCCGACGCCCTGGTATTGTGAGACCGACTTAACCTTTCCGGAGAGTCCAATAAGAGTCAAACCAATGCCACCTCCAGTTCCTCTCATAAGCACAAGAAGTAGCGGTCAAATAGACTCCAACCCCTCATTATAAGACCAAAAACCAATATTTCACACATTTTTGTCTCATTTCCTACATTTGATGACAATATTTCTAATTCAATAAAATCTTAATTTTCTACGAACATTCAAATATTCATCACTTAATCAAAAATATTGTTTCTAAAAACTCGTAACTTCTATCATAAGTATAAATTTGTAAATTTTTCCCACCATTATTAGCTATACATTGAATTGTTTAACTAGTTTTCATTGAATTCAGTATTGATTTCAATAGTTGTGTTGTTTCTCGTGAACTGTATCTCGAATCCAAAACAAGTATTCATTTGAAAACTCAATAAATCTTTTACAGTTAAGAGACAATTAATCTCAAAGTTATCCATCAATTGATGCAAATATGTCTAACTTTTGGTTGAAATCGTTTGAATCTAAACCATTGAATCCGCGGGACACTGACGACATGTGGTCTGACAGTGATGACAGTTATGAGAGTCTAGAGGTTAATGACATTAATGAGATTCTGGAGTTCGGTGTCAGTGAAGACAGTCAGGAGTTGGACGAACCGGTGGTCGCATCGGCGGAACCACAGGAACCTCAAGTGTCCGACATGTCTGTGCAGACGAAGCCAATGGTATGAACTCTTAAATACATTGATAAACCATTCATTCAATCCATTCCTCTGGTTATGAATAGACGGCTGACGTCTCGACACAGAAGAAGAAGAAATGCATTCAGTGTTTGATTTTATAAATAGTTTTATTGTTTTCATAAACGCATACAAATTCCAGTCATAAAATAATTCATTGAAAATACAAACTAATTTATTTGACTTTTACTTACATTTTATTATTTCCTACATTTGATGACAATATTTCTAATTCAATAAAATCTTAATTTTCTCTTTCATTCAAATATTTCACACATAAACAAAAATATTATTTCTAAATACTCGCAAACAAATCACTATTTATTTAACTTTCGTTAAGTTTTCATATTATCGGTGAACTATTAAAACATGTAAAGACTTAAAAGTTAGTCATTATTAGTAATACTGTAAGTGTTTTATACATAAATGAAATAAGAAAACAAATAATTAGTTTAAAAAGTTTATTGAATTTAGATTTAAAGTGAAAAGTAAAGAATTTTGAGTGAAATATGAATTGAAACCAAATTTGTGTCACGTATTCGTCAGTCAATGACAGAGTAGTGGTCTTCAGAGTGAATGTCTGAATAGTGTAGACATCGGGCGCTGGCATTGACTGCAAACACGAGCCAACCCTCGGATCCGTCGCTGTGTCCAAGGGTTGAGGACTCCATTTGCCCTCATATTAGCTGATTATGTGTGCACTCAGTCCTCGTCGTCGAAGAATACGCGACGATATCTCTTCATATCTGCGAGACTTTGGCTAAAATCGCTTTGAATTGTCTGGAGTTGTGATGCACTCATCGGAACACACGTTACCTCGTCTTCAGGTGTGGTCTGAAGATAATGAGACAATCGTTGTCTTCCTCTGCGTCCGTCTTCGGCAACTCCATGACCACAAACCTGCAGCCATAGAGTGGGAATCTCTCGTCGACTGACACGACATTCCTGTGCCACAAATGGAGAGCCGTTTGGATCTCTCGGAGCACTTCAGAAGAGCGACAGAATTTGATGGCAACGGACGTGTAGACAGTCTTCGAGACCCCCTTCGAGAACTCGTCCGACATGACCACTGCAGACACCACTTGACCGAAGTGTCCGAACTTTGATAGACG